CACAAAAAATCATCCCAGTTCTTGACCTAATATGTGGAATCTGCCACTTCTTTTTTCAAGAGATTTTTCAACTTATTTTAGAGAGAGAGCACATGTGCGCATAAGCGGGGAGTGGGGGGCGGTGGTGTAGAGGGAGAAGGAGAGAATTCCAAGTAGACTCCCCACTGAGCATGGAGCCCACCTTGGGGCTCCATCCCATGACTCAGATCAGACCTGAGCCAAAATCAAGAGGCGGGTGCGTCTAGGTGGCTCAGTCAGTTAAGCATCTGCCTTCAGCTCAGGTCATGATCCTGGGGTCCTGGGATCCAGCCCAGTGCTGGGCTCCCTGCTCAGTGGGGAGTCTACTTCTCCCTTTCCCTCTGCCCTTCACTCCCCACCCCCTCCACTAGCTCTCTCACACTCTCTTCAGTCTCTCTCTCTCTCTCTAATAGATAAATAAAATCTTTAAAAAAAAATAAACAGTCAGTTGCTGGAGTCAGCTACCTTTACTAGGGGATACTGATAGAGCCTACAGTTTGAATGCTGGACTATACATACTTGATGGTTCCTTGTGCATATTAGCGATAGGCAAAAAACACATCGCACCACCACTAGTAAGAGCGAGAAAAAAGATATTTCTTTCCCAAGTCATGAATTCACATTGATGGTTCCGGTGAACTCTAACATCACACAAGTCTCTCAAAATTGTATAACATCAAAGTTTTAATTTTATTTTCTTTAAGCTTAATAACTATAATTATCACTGTACCTCCTTCTCTTAAATATGAGGTTTCGCCAACTTTTGTTACATTTACATGCATGAAGATCAAAGTTTTGTTTCCAGCTTCTTCACATTCTAAGTCTGAATGAATTGTTTTGACTGTTATGGTAACAGGCATTCTCTGCATCATTCCAGCTCAGGATCCCAGCTGCTTTAGAATATTTGGGACCGGGGCACCTGGGTGTCTCAGTCGTTAAGCATCTGCCTTCGGCTCAGGTCATGATCCTAGGATCCTGGGATTGAGCCCCACATCGGGCATCCTGCTCCATGGAAAGCCTGCTTTTCCCCCCACCACTCCCCCTGCTTGTGCTCCCTGTCTTGCTGTGTCTCTCTCTGTCAAATAAATACAATCTTTAAAAAAATAGAATATTTGGGACCAACAATGTCTGTCTTTCTACAGCATGTCAGAGAACACTGGGTTTGCATCGATTTTTCCCAAATAGGTGATTTTTAGTCTCTCCTTAATTGAATTACTTTTTTCCTTAATTGAATTCTATACCCCAGAAGTGTGGCAGCTTCTGACAGATAGATGCTTGGTAGCTGAACGAGGATCCTTCATGATATGTGAATAGCTGACTGGCTTCTCTTATCGTTAAAAATTCTAGGATGCGGTTGTGGATGACTTCCTGTCTTAGGGTTCTCCAGAAAAACAAACCCAACAGGGAGTACACGCATATATATCAATAGGAGGTACACACACACACACACACACACACATACATACACAGAGAGATTCATTAAAAGGAATTAATTCACACAGTTACAGTGGCTGGCAGGTCCTCAGAGTTACAGGGTGAGGCAGCAAGCTGGAGACCCAGGAGAGCCAGAGTTTTCATTTTAGTCCAAGCCTGAAGGTCTGAGAACCAGGCGAACTCTTGGTGTAGCTCTAGTCCAATCCAGTCCAAAGTCTGGCAGGCTCAAGACCCAGGAAGAGCCAATACTCACTTTGAGTCTGAAGGCAGAATCAATGCCAAAGTCTCAGTTCTAGGAAAGTCAGGCAGGAAAACTCTTATTTGGGGCAGGGTCAGCCTTTTGGTTCTGTTCAGGCCTTCACCTGATTGGACAAGGCCCACCCATATTGCGGAGGGCAATCTGCTTTACTCAAAGTTCACCAATTTATATGTTAATCTCACCCAAAATTGCCCTCAGAGAGACATCTAGTATAATGTGTGACCAAATATCCAGGCACAACATGGCCCAGTCAAGTGGATACATAAAATGAACCGTCACATTTCCCAGCACCAGGCAGACCCGTCTCATGTGCATATTCCAAGCCGTCATAGTCATTCCGCCCTTTTGCCAGTGGTTACTTCCCAGGGGGCAGCCCTGAGCCATGCGGTACAAGAGATGTGAGGGAAAGCTGCTCTTAGGGCTCCCAGGAAAAGTTCCTTTGATCCGAAGAGTGCCGCATGGATGTTTTATGGTAGAAGGTGATGGCCAGAGAAAGGGACAAGCCAGGTCCTCCGTCACACTGCCACTGACTCAACCTGCACCAGAGCCGCCTCCTTCTTGTCTTTCAGCTGAGATAATGCACAGCCTTATTGTTCAAACCACTTTGAGCTCTGGTTTGTGCTCCTTGAAGCTGAGGCCTTCCTAATACAGATCTATCCAGAGAGACTTGGCAACTTCTAGAGCCTTTACTTACACTGCCGGTCTATGACGGGCAATCTTGTGTATACATAATAAATTAAATTTGGCTACTACATCAGAGTTCTAATGACATTTAACGTGACAAATGTGTTTCCAGATTTTAATTAAAATTCAACCATGTGTGGTGCTCCCAGTGCCACCAGTCTGTCAGGGGTCACAGAGGTGAAGACACCATCTCCTTAAGGCGGCAGGTAGACATTTCCATTACCTCTCCCAGGGCCAAGTTTCCCCTGGCAATGACTATAAGATCCAACTCCCATTTCACAAATGTTACAGTGTGAGAAAATGTTGAGTCTTAGAAATGAGGAAACATTTTTTTGGTGGGGGGAAATAGACATTTCTACTGGTTTTGTTGTTGTTGTTGTTGTTTTTTGTGGGGGTTGGCGCTCAGGCCTGAGAGTGCAAAACAGAGGTGACTGAAGACGGGACGCTGACCTGAGGACAGGATGTGGGCCTTGACTTCGAAAACATAGGACGCCATCATAGGGATGCTTCTTGATTCTCCAGATGTGTCTTAAATGCTTTTCTGTCCCTTTTGCCTACAGTCTGAAAACATGAGCTATAATGACCAGTATCCATATTTCTGCTAATGCAAAAATGTTCTTCCTTTCTTCAATAACTTTTACTAAAAACTGCTATGGAGTGACAGTGCCAGGCTGTGGGCCAAGGGAAAGAGACACAGGGTAAATAAGGCACACTCCTTTCAAGGACCTCTCGGTGTAGGGGGTACAATGGACAGGTAATAATGTGTGTATTATACGTGTGTGTAGTATATATGTGTGTATTCGTATATTGTAGGGCTGTAGTCTGAATGTTTGTGTCCTCCTGCAAGTTCATACATTGAAATCCTAATCCTCGACGTGGGGCCTTTGGGAAGCAATTAGGTCATGAGAGCGGAGCCCTCATGGATGGGGTCGATGTCCATATGGAATAGGCCTCAGAGAGCTAGCTTGTCTCTCCTGCCATGTGAGCACACCGTGACGCGGGCCCTCTGAGACATCCAGGAAGTGCGCCCTCATCTGACAATCTTCCAGTGCCATGATCTTGAACTTCCCAGTCCCCAAAATTTGAGAAATAAATGTTTGCTGTTTATAAACCGCCCAGTCTGAGCATCTGACATTGTCGTATCAGCCCAAATAGACTAAGACACACAGAGAATAAGAGTTTGAAGGTTAAAAAAAAAAAAGAGAGAGTTGGAAGGTCACCATCCAAGACATTGACCGTTCTTACCTGCCTCCTTCTTACATTGTGCTCTTTATTGTTATTATTCTTTTAATTGCTGTGTGTTACCGGGACAGGGGAACCAGTGAAGTGGCTTTGCAGTGGCTCAGATGAGGCTCTACAGTGGTCGTGATGGTGGCTTGGATGACCAGGGTATAGCCGGCAAAGAGCTTTGCCTGGACGGGAAGCTGTGGGGGAGGGGCAGTCAGGGCTCAGTGGCAGATAGGATGAGAGGAGGAGACAAGGATGGCTGGAGTGCTGGCGTGGACGGTGAGGGTACACTGGAAGCGATGTGTGGGGGCAGCACCTGCCCAGGTAGACGCAGGACGAGTACCTCCGACACGTTCCCGCTAGCTGTTCCCCCAGAGTAACCTCCCTGACTCGAGAGGTTGGCTGAGAACTCCACGACCTCACCTCCCAGTGGCCTCTTTCCGGGGCACTTGTCCCTCCAGGAACCCGAGGCTGGGTGGCCGTGGAGTCTACCAAGAGACCAGAGGTTGCCCTGCTCATTCTAAACTGGGGGCTTCCAATCCAGCACCCTGGGGCCAGGCCTTGTCGGAGCCCGCCCTGGTGAGGCTCCCCCAGGGGCAGACTCCATCCTGCTCTCTGTCTGGCATGCCAGCTTCCTGGCGGCGTCATCCATCCCCGTTCTGGGTCACTCTGGGTCTTGGCGGAGAAGGGGCACAGCGATGACTCTTTTCGTGTGAGTGCAGAGGGTGCGGCCAGGGCCCGTTCACACGGGGTGCAGTGGGCCGCCAGCCCAATCTCGAAAATCTGGGGAATAGATCCTTCTCAACTTTACAGGGAAAAGCGAGGTGGAGGCTTCCTGAGGATAGGGAAGAGAGAGGTTTGCGGAGCTTTGAGGGGGCATAGGGAGTGCTGCGATGCCATACAGGGGTCCCAGGGCGGGAGGAGAGAACGTCTGCACCTGAACGAATGAATTAATGACAAATAGTAGCTTATCTTTCGACCACTGTTACTCAGGATCTAGGGTTGGAAAATCTAACCTCCCCTCGCGGAGCGGTAAGTCTCCTAGTTTTCGTCTTCTCACCTGTTGCGACTTGCATTGTAAGATCTCGGTGCCCCGCTCCATGAGCAGGTGGGCTTCTCCAGCTCGGAGCATCAGGTGGCCCTTGGTGGGCGGCGTGTCCCCAGAATCCCGCAAGTCTGCAGAGCTCAGCGCCTGCAGCCTGGGACCGCTCAGGGGGACCCCAGTGGGACGTGTGGCCCCGCCCCCTCGGAAAAGGCCCCGCCCGCCCCTCCGCCCCTCCAGCCCCGGCCCCGCCCTGTCTGCGGACAGACTCTGCGGCGCCGCCCGGCTCGCGCCTCCGCCCCCGAGCGCCCCGGCGGGCGGAGTTGCGGGTGAGGGGCGGGATGTTTTGGGGGGCGGGGGTCCCGATGACGGCATCGGAGCGCGCCGCGCGGAGGCTCGGAGCCTAACGGCACCGGCGGGGGACGGTGCTCCCATCCAAGCAGGTGGGTGTGGGCCCGGGAGGGGTGGAGGTCCAGGATAGGGTGGGTGGGGGGAGGCGCGCGCTCGCCCCCTCCCCGCGCAGGCCTGGGCCGGGTGGCGGTGGGAGCCGGCACCTGGGGAGCTCTGACAGAGCACGAGGAGCCCCCATCCTTGCGTACCAGCCTCCTGAAGGCCTCTTCCTGGGCGGGCGGGAGCACCCCCTTCCCTAAGCCGGGAGCCTGAGGCCAGCATCGCGGGCCTGGCCGGGAGGAGTGAGCGCCGAAGCTGCGAGGGTCCGGTCCGCGTTTATAATCACTTTTGCAAACTCCAGGAGCCCCTGTCCTGTGCCCGCCTCCTCCAGCGCCCGACCGCACCGGCGGAGTTGTCCCTGCGTCTTCCGTGCGCAGGGCCTCCGAGAAGCCGGGACCGCGCGGCGCTGGAAGAGCTCAGGGTGCGGGGCGCGCGGAGGCGCCCACTGTACTGCGCGACGGTCACCGCTGTGTCCCCAGGGCCCGGCACCCAGCAGGGACTGGGTGATTGAAGGAAAGAACGAACCGTTACATGTGTTGAGAGAAGTTAGTGACAAATCGAGAGCTGTGGGCCCTGTGGGTACGGGGCGGTGCGGGCTGCGGTAAGAAGGGAACCCGGACGGGGAAGGTTTTCGGGGTGCAGTTTCATCATCGCTGCTGGGCAGCTACTAAGCGTCCGACCTCGTGCTGGGCGCTGGAGATACAGCACGAAGCGGGACAGGGGAGTCCCTGCCTGTGTGTGTGTAGTGCTGGGGGACACAGAGCAGAGGCGCGTCCCTGGCTCCCTGAAGAAGACAGGGCCAGCCTAAGGCCGGAGAGATGGGAGTGTGTTGCAGAGAAAGGTGAGCAAAGGTGGGGTTCAGGAAGTGAGCAGACAAGGTGGGCAGGGTTGTTAAAGTTTTGACTGCCAAGGGCATTGTGGAACCTCTTTTGGGACAGTTTAAGCAAGAGAGTAACAGGGTTGCATTTGCAATTTTGGAAGATGCCCCTACTTGCCTTGGTGGAGGGCACAGGGAGACTGAGAGCCTCGAGGCAGCTGGTGAAGGGGCCAGTGGCCAGGCCCCGGGCTTTGGCAATAGGATGGGGAGGGGTGGGGCAGCAGGTGAACGTGATACTTAGGATGGAATTGGCAGATCTGGTGGTGGGAACTTGTTCGTGAAGGATCTGACTTTTTTTCAGGAAGGTGGGGCAGGGCCTGTGAGGTGACCAAGGCAGAGATTATAGGGGAACCCAGTGGGTAGTAGGGAAAGGAGTTCCCTGATGTGGCGGTGGTGGTTGTGGGGTGTGTGTGTGTTTTAGGAGATGGGGTCTGGGGGGAAGGGTAGAGCCGGAGCAAAGAAGCCCGTGGGAGTCAGGTGCAGGAGTGAGGGCCTATTTTGCCGGTGATGGGAGCCATGACCGGTTACGGAGCAGGAGCGCGTTGGCTGTCGCGGTGTTTGCTGGCGCAGAGGACGTTCTGAACGTTAATGACCCTCCCTCCCCTCTCTCGGAGGTCAGGAGCCCCAGGAGCCCCAGGACCCTACTCCCGGTTACCTGCAGGGGGCGGTCCAGCCCCTGGAGTACAGGTGCTGACCGGAGGGGTCTCTTTCTCTCCAGGCCCCCACCCTCGCACCATGGGGCTGGAGACCCAGAGGCTGCCGGTGGCCGAGGAGGCGCCAGTGAGGGTGGGCCTGCGCGTCCGCCCGCTGCTGCCCAAGGAGCTGCTGCACGGCCACCAGAGCTGCGTGACGGTCGAGCCCGAGCACCGCCGCATCACCCTCGGTCGAGACCGCCACTTTGGCTTCCACGTGGTGCTGGATGAGGACGCCGGGCAGGAGGCCGTGTACCAGGCCTGCGTGCAGCCCCTCCTCGAGGCTTTCTTTGAGGGCTTTAATGCCACCGTCTTTGCCTACGGCCAGACAGGATCCGGGAAGACGTACACCATGGGGGAGGCCAGTGTGGGTGAGTGACCGTCCTGGAGGCCCGAGCTGCGTTGACGGGCCTCCGTGTCTCTTAAACTTCTGCCTCTGCCATTCCCTGTTGAAGGTGGGAGTGCTGCGGGCCGAGGTTTCCTCCTCAGATCTGCCGCCCAGGGTGGGACCAGTCATGTTGGTAGAGTCCTTGGAGGTGGGGGCCTTGCGGTTCCACAGAAATGAGGCCACACTGTGTGGTTGTGGTGATCTCAGCGGGAGGACAGGCAACAGAAGCTGGCTGTTGTCGGGATGGCTGTCGAGGGTCAGGAATCCGTGTTTGGGTCAGAGTCGTTGGAATGGGAACCGTCTTGGGAGAGCCGGGCTTTGCCCACCATGGGGTGAGGGAACAAGCAGCTCCTGGGGCTCAGAAGCAGACTGGGAGAGATGCTGTGGGGCCAGTTAAAGGAACTGCCCCCATTTTAAGTAACACAGACTGCTTTCTCTCTCTCTCTCTCTCTCTCTTTTTTTTTTTTTTTTTTTTAAGATTTTTAATTTATTTGACAGAGAGAGATCACAAGTAGGCAGAGAGGCAGGCAGAGAAAGAGGAGGAAGCAGGCTCCCCACTGAGCAGAGAGCCCGATGCGGGGCTTGATCCCAGGACCCTGAGATCATGACCTGAGCCAAAGGCAGAGGCTTAACCCACTGAGCCACCCAGGTGCCCCCAGACTGCTTTCTCTTAGGTTATAAAAGTATCCATATTTGTCATGGAAAAATTAGGAAAATACAGAAAAACACAAGCACACACACAAAAATAACTTACTTGATGATTGCTTTTCAGCACTTAACAGCACTACCCTGTTAGCATTCCAGTTTTTTTTCTCCTGAGGAAATTATTTTACCTTTAAAAAATGGGATTATATTATACCCATTCTTTTATAACCTGTTTTTTTTTTTTTAAGAGTTTATTTATTTATTTGACAGAGAGAGAGACAGGGAGAGGGAACACAAACAGGGGGAGTGGGAGAGGGAGAAGCAGGCTTCCCACAGAGCAGGGAGCCCGATGCAGGGCTCCATCCCAGGACCCCGGGATCACGACCTGAGCCAAAGGCAGACGCTTAACGACTGAGCCACCTAGGCGCCCCATTTTTTCTTTCCTTAACAACCTATCATAAACATTTCTCTTTATCATTAAATATTCTTCAAGCTAATTTTTTTTAAAGATTTATTTGACACAGAGAGATCACAAGCAGGCAGAGAGGCAGGCAGAGAGAGAGGGGGAAGCAGGCTCCCCACTGAGCAAAGAGCCCTATGTGGGGCTCGATCCCAGGACCCTGAGACCAGACCCGAGCCGAAGGCAGAGGCTTTAACCCACTGAGCCACCCAGGTGCCCCGCTTCAAGCTAGTTTTTTAATGGTGGCTTGGCATTCTATGGCATTCTATGGTGTATATAATTTATTTAACCAGATCCCCTCTTGGATCTTAGGACATTTGCATTTTTCTTTGAGTTATGCAGAGTGCTGAAGAGCCTCTTATTACTTCCTTGGGATAAATGTAGGCGGTCCTTTAGATAACTGAGCACAGATCATAATAACAAGCTCCCTGTCCCAGGGAGTAATCAAACCAGGGGTATCTGATGATCAGGCAGAGATGTAGTGGAGGGGATGCTTACATCATAAAAGGGGTTGGTGGTACCTTGAGAGGTTGCTTCCAACTCTGACATTCTGTAATTCTGCCTGACCACCCCGGAGCATGGGCCGGCTTAGGCCACTCAGCCATCCTGGCCTCTGCTGCTGTCTTCATGCTGGAGCGTCCGCCTCCAGTTGCCGGCAGGGGCATGTGGGCCTTGAGCTCTGTCCGGCTGAAGGCATGGTGGCAGGAGGCTCTGTGGTGTGTCCCCAGCCTCCCTTCACGAGGATGAGCAGGGCATCATCCCGCGGGCCATGGCTGAAGCCTTCAAGCTGATCGATGAGAACGACCTGCTGGACTGCCTCGTGCACGTGTCCTACCTGGAAGTGTATAAGGAAGAGTTCCGAGACCTGCTGGAGGTGGGCACTGCCAGCCGAGACATCCAGCTTCGGGAGGATGACCGGGGAAATGTTGGTGAGGAACTCCCGGGGCCGCCTCTGCTGGCAGTGGGGCTTCACCGGCCGAGGGGCAGTTCACCCACCTGCGAGGGGTACCTCCTAACTGGGGAACCCAAGCTCTGGAAGGTTTTGCCTTCCTGTCTCCTGTCTCCACTGAGTTCAGTATATACGTCTGTACTCAGAGTGCAAGGCATTGAGGTGGGCTTGGGGCAAGCTGGAGCCCCTCTGTCTGGGTCACGATGGGCAGGACCCCCCCCCTCCCCCCGTCTACGGGGTTCAGTGGGCATGGGAAAGGGGCATCTGGGTCGGGAAAAGCCGTAGGCGCCAGCCCTGCTCTGTCTGCCCTCCTGGGCGGTCTGTCCCGGGCAGCCCCCGCCCAGGGCTCACCACCTTCCGTGCCCGCAGTGCTGTGTGGCGTGAAGGAGGTAGACGTGGAGGGCCTGGACGAGGTGCTGAGCCTCCTGGAGATGGGCAACGCAGCGCGGCACACGGGGGCCACACACCTCAACCGCCTGTCCAGCCGCTCACACACTGTCTTCACCGTGACCCTGGAGCAGCGGGGGCGCGCCCCCAGCCGCCTACCCCGACCCACCGCGGGCCAGCTGCTGGTCTCCAAGTTCCACTTCGTGGACCTGGCGGGCTCAGAGAGGGTGCTCAAGACGGGCAGCACAGGCGAGCGGCTCAAGGAGAGCATCCAGATCAACAGCAGCCTCCTGGCGCTGGGCAACGTCATCAGCGCCCTGGGTGACCCCCAGCGCCGCGGCAGCCATATCCCCTACCGGGACTCCAAGATCACCCGGTGAGGGCCCTGCGGCCGATGGCCCACGCGAGCAGGGGCCCCTCTCTCGGGCCGCTGGTGGGGAAAGGGGGCGGGGTAGGGGGAGGCGAGTAGGGGATGGGTCCGGTCTGGCTTGCGGGGCGCGCCGCCCACCAGTACGAGCTGCCGGCCCGCGGGGTCAGATTCGAGGTCCCGGCGCCCCGGGGGCCCCTGACGCGGCCCACCTGGCGTCCTCAGGATCCTCAAAGACTCACTGGGCGGGAACGCCAAGACGGTGATGATCGCCTGCGTCAGTCCCTCCTCCTCCGACTTCGACGAGACCCTCAACACCCTCAACTACGCCAGCCGCGCCCAGAACATCCGCAACCGCGCCACGGTCAACTGGCGGCCCGAAACCGAGCGCGCCCCCGAGGAGGCCGTGGCCGGCACACGGGGGCCTCCGCGCCACCGCTCGGAGACGCGCATCATCCACCGCGGCCGGCGCATCCCCGGCGCCGCCAACGCCCCCGCCCTCGCCCCAGCCCCTGCCGCCGCCGCGGCCGCTGCCGCCGCGCGTCTGGGCGCGGAGTGCGCGCGCTACCGGGCCCGCACCGACGCCGCCTACAGCCTCCTGCGCGAGCTGCAGGCCGAGCCCGGGCTGCCCGGCGCCGCGGCCCGCAAGGTGCGCGACTGGCTGTGCGCCGTGGAGGGCGAGCGCAGCGCCCTGAGCTCCGCCTCCGGGCCTGACAGCGGCATCGAGAGCGCCTCCGCCGAGGAGCAGGCCACGCAGGGGCCCGGCGGGCAGACGGTGGCCAAGGGCCAGGTGTGGCCCCGGGGAGGGAGGGAAGGGGAAGGAAGAGGTCTTCATCAAGCCAGCTGTGCCCCTGCCCCGTGTCTATCGGCAGAGCCCATTCCCGATTTAGAGGCCCTTCTGCTGATCACCTCGATCGCATTCCCTACCCTCCCTGAGCCTCAGGCTCTCAGTCTGTGAAATGGGGCTAACGTTGGTATCTACCTTCTGGGGATGTTGTAAGGGCCGGAGGTGTATCAAGGGTCCAGCCCAGCACGCTGTGGAGCCTCAGTAGGTTGGTCCTATTAATAGCGGTGATGATATTATTGTCAACAAAAGTGTGATTAATAATGACAAGAGATGGCCCCAAAAGCTTGCAGAGGGGACCACTGGCAGGGTGGGCTCTGGAGCCCCGATTGCCAGGCAGGGCCTGCAGCGGAGTAGCAAGTTGGACTAGGGGAGCCCCTGGCAGGGCAGAGGGAGGGCTGGTAAGTCCCAGAGAAAGGCAGGCTTGTCCTGCCAGCTCGTGCCCCTGAAGCCTCTCTCCTTGCCCCGCAGGACGAGGACGGGGCAGTGCAGCTTCTTGCACTGCAGAGCCAGGTGGCCCGGCTGGAGGAGGAGAACCGAGATTTTCTGGCCGCGCTGGAGGACGCCATGGAGCAGTACAAACTGCAGGTGGGTGGCGGGCTTCCTCCAGGGGAAACTGGGCCGAGTGTCTGCGCAGCAGAGGGAGTTAGCCAGGGCCGGCTTCTGAGAGGGTGGGAAGAGATCGGGGAGGTGCAACTGGGCAAAAGCGTGGAGGTGAGGAACAGAATCGGGTGGGTGGGCGCGCGGCATGGCAGTGAGCGGGGATGAGAGGTGGGACTGGAGGGGCTGCGGGTCTGTCCCAGGAGTCAGGCCTTTTTGTCCCAAGGTAACTGAGTCAGCATTGCTGCTGGCGCCCTCTGGCGGCTGTGATTGGCATGGAAGTGGAGGATTGACACAGAGGGCGGGATAGGGCCTAATAGGATGGGGTGAGAATTTGACCCTGAACTCGTGCAGCGTGTGTTGGGGGTGTGCGGGGGCCCAAGAGTTCGTTAGAGATATTTGGCCCTTCTCGGTTTTAGCCCAGAGAGGGTGGGGTGGCCTCAGACCTGTTCTACAGTTTTCTGCACTTCTGCAGTCAGCGTCCATGCACCCTCCGCATCCGCGTCTCCCATCAGCCCCGGGAACTTGTCTTCCAGAGCGACCGGCTGCGGGAGCAGCAGCAGGAGATGGCAGAGCTTCGGCTGCGGCTAGAACTGGTGCGGCCTGGCTGGGGGGCCCCAGGGCTCCTGCAGGGTCTGCCTCCTGGGTCCTTTGTGCCTCGGCCTCACACAGCCCCTCTGGGGGGTGCCCACAGCCACGCATTGGGCATGGTGCCTTCTGCCTGCCTTCCTGGAGACGAAGTTGGCCCCGAGAACTGGGGAGAGGTGAGGAGGTGGCGAGGCAGGCTGTCTCTTGAACTGGACAGGCTCAGACAGGGGAAGGGCAGTGCCGGGGAGTGTGCTGCTCACCCTGGGCTTTCCTGGGACCAGCTGTGAGATGCCCCTTTCCAGTGCCCCTAGGGGAAGGGCCAAAATTTGGGTGACTCTGTCGGGCCTCTCAGAAGGATCTGCTGCCATTGGGCATTCCGGGGCTGGCTGGAGATTGTGGAGTGAGGAGGTTACAGAGGGGATTCTGGCTTCCGGCACTGGCTGGGAAGCTTGTATACCTCCAGAGATGGGGAGCTTATCACCTCTCAGGCCACCTCTTTTGTCTTTGCAAGTATACTTTTCCAAAGGCCCTAATCTCCCTGAGCTTGTCCTCCTACTTATGACCTTTTGGACAAAGGCTGTTTCTGCGTCTTCCTCAAAGCTCTGAGTCATGTCCGCTGTAACAGCCCAAGGCACAGAGAGGGCGGGTGTGAGTTTGGCAGCAGACTGTTATACACCCAGCACTCGGGCAGAATGCAGACTTGGGTGCTGATGGCCTGTATACAAAGGAAGAGCAGATTGTCACCTGAGGAGTCCCAGGTGCTGTGGGTGCCGTGGGGGGAGAGGGGGAGCTCCTGCTCCAACTTGGGATGGGCGGCGGGGAGGGGAGGCATGGGGGGGTGCAAAGACTGGTGATGGGAAATGACTGATGGAGGGTGCCCTGGAGGGCTTCCTGTCCTGAGGCCATCGGCACTCCCCTAGCAGGTGACAAATGGCAGAGAGGCGGGAGCCAAGGTGGAGGCAGACGGGCCCGGAAGTGGAAGCGGCTCATCGGCGGAGGAGGAGGAGGAGCAAGCGTCGGAGCCGCCGCGGACCCTGCACCTGCGCAGGTGAGTGGGACCCGGTGCCCACCTGACAGGAAGCAGCTCAGCGCCCAGGCTGGGCCCAGGGAGGATCCCGCTGGAGTCCCGGGCTGCCCTCACCTCCAGGTCCCGTTGGGAGGTACAGATGGGGGCGGTGGGCTTGGAACCCAGGGTTCTCACTGGGGTGAACGTGCTGTGGGGTTCACGGTTCCCAGCCTTCAAGGCGGCCCTCAGTACCCCCAACAGCTCAGCCCCGCCTCAGTTCTCCCAGACTGCCACCCTGGGTTCCACTGATTCTGAGGGGACAGAAGGCCCAATGGCTTCTCTTCCTTCCTCGTGGGGAAGGGTACAGACTCCTGCTTCTGTCTTCCAGAAACGGGATCAGCAAGTGGAGCCAGAGGGTGGGGGCCTGCCCAGAGAGTCCACTCGACAGGAAGGGCCCAGAGCTTAACCTTGAGGAAGTGGGTGCAGCCATCCCAGGGCCCAGAGGTGAGCTGGGTCCGGGGCAGAGAGGGCTGTGACCCTCCCCTCCGTGGCCCTGCACTGCCCTCCTGGACGGTCCACGCCTCGTCCCTGGCTGTCTGGCCGCCCCTGCCCGGGGTGTGCCTCTTCCCTCCCCCACCTCCCCCTGTTGAGGCAGCGGCCTTGACAGTGGGCTTGTTACAGTCAGTGGTGAGAGCAAGGCCCCGGCTCGACCCCGTCAGACCCCAGCTGCCATGGCGTCTGAGTGGCGGCTGGCCCAAGCCCAGCAGAAGATCCGAGAACTGGCCATCAACATCCGCATGAAGGAGGAGCTCATTGGCGAGCTGGTCCGCACCGGTGAGGTGGTGGGCTCTCAGGTGGGGCTCCCACCTGGGGGTGGTTAGGAGCGGGGGCCAGATGGTTTAGGTTTGGTAACCAGCCAGCCTCTTCCAGCTGGAGGACCTTGAGCAAGTAGGATAGCGCCTCTGTGACTCGGTCTCCTCATCTCTAAGGTGGGGCTTGTAGTTGTACCTGTTTTATGGGTTGTTGAAGTGAGTTAATTCAGCTGGAGCGATTAGGCTGGTTCACATTACCTGGTGGTAGTAGCAGGAGTTGTATTTACTAGTAGCGTGCTGGGTTAGGCCCTGTGATGCACACGGACTCTCTTGGTCTCAGGGAGCAAACAGTGTCCCCAGATCACTCTGTCTGCTACTGGCGATGCATGTCAAGGGGCTGGGAACAGTGTGAGGTAGTGACCAGCTGAGCCTTTCTATTTTAATAGTTATATGTTTATTACAAAATGCCTTATGAAAAATTTCAAACCCACAGGGAGAGACTGAACCAGTGGGGCCCTTACCCACCACCCAGGTTTAGCGTTATGGGCTTTTCCCCGCATTCATCTCTCCCATTTCTCTTTGCTGAGGGTTTCAAAGCAAATCCCTGGCATCTTGTCACTGGGCCCCCACACCTTTTGGTATGCCTCTTTTTGGACATTTTAACCAAAATGCTGTGAGCATATCTAACAAAATTACTGTCACCTGGATGCCCAAGGCACGGGCCCGTCCCCTCAGTTCCTCGGCAATGTGTGCAGACCACTGGTTTGCTGGAACCCAGCTCCCCATGTGTCCCACGTGCTGTGCGTGCTTGTTAGGCCTCTGAAGTCTCCCTTCTAACTCCTCACGTGTCTCAAACCCCCCACCTCCCAACCCCTGTGTTCTGGGTTTGCCTATTTGCTTCCTTGTGGTGTTATTTAACTTGTTCCTCTGTCCTCAGATTTCCTGCAAAGGAAGTTAATTCTAGAGGCTTAATTATATGCAGGCCCAAGCTCTGTATTTGTTAGCATGTATTAGGTAAAACTAAAGTCAGTTTAATCCATAATAGCCCCGGATTGCTGTTATCAATAAGGCTCATTTAAAAAGAGAGCGATTTAAAAGAAAGTAGATTAAGTAACTCACGGTACCAGTGGAACCAAAGCTTGGCAAAACCCGTGCAGATGCCCATGACGGACAGCCGTCTAGAACCCTGCCCAGAGGAGCGAAGGGATGGTCCTCCCTGGTGGAGAGGGGCAGCCTGTGCTGAGGAGCACGCCCTCCCCCTCTCCCTTTCTTCCAGGGAAGGCGGCCCAGGCCCTGAACCGCCAGCACAGCCAGCACATCCGGGAGCTGGAGCAGGAGGCAGAACAGGTGCGGGCTGAGCTGAGCGAAAGCCAGAGGCAGCTGCGGGAGCTCGAGGGCAAGGAGCCTCAGGACGCAGGCGAGCGCTCCCAGCTCCAGGAGTTCCGCAAGAGGGTCGCCGCCGCCCAGAGCCAGGTGCAGGTCAGTGTTGGGACCTTGGGGTGGTAGCTGGAGTCCTGGGACCGAGACACATGGGCCCCAGGGCCCAAGTTCACTGGAAGCAGTGGATGTTCAGGCCCTCGTGCTCCTGGCTTCTGGCTGGTTTGGTGAATGACCTCCCGGCCTCCCAGGGTGAGGCTGGTGTTCCACAGAAGTCAGCAGCCCTGGGGGAGGCAGCCTGTGCCCTTTAAACACAGCAGGAGCAGGAAGGCTACTTCTGCTGGAGACCAGTGAGAGGGGAAGGGTGGGCATCGAAAGCAAGGTACCCCTTCCTCATGCTACCCTCCCCTCCCGGTTCCCTGGCCACTTACCTGTCTATTCCATCTTCTCTCTGTCTTTCTACCCATCTATCCATATGTCTGTCTCATCCATACACCCGTTTATCATTCTGTTGGTTTGTAACCCCCTCTGGAGCTTCCCAGGGATAACCCGAAATGGGTCCCCACACTCGGAGGGCAGGGAGAAATGGGAGAAAGAGACAGCCACTCCAGGTAGGAAGGTGGCAGGTTTACTAAGCACAGGAACTTGTCTTGGGTGCCCCTCTTTCTGCAGTGGGCTCTGGGCCATTAGCAAGGTGTTGGATTCACTTCGAGGTGGCTCTTTTTGTGGCCCTCTGGCTATCTTGGAGGCAGATGCCCCAGGAACAACGTAGGCACATGTAAGAGAGAATACAGAATAAGACACTGATTCCAAATTCCAAAATCAGTCACTGCTTTTTCTAAGAGCCCCATGATGTGAACCACTGATTTCTGAGTCCCCAAGGCTGGGGGTGGGATCACTCGGTGTTCACTTATGTTCTCATGTGATTTAATAAAGCCCATGCGTCAGCAGACTCAGCTGTGAACACACCACAGTCTGTCTGGATAATGGCACAGGTGCCTCCTCGTGGAGTAACAGTGTCCCAGGCCATGCTGTTTTAGAGGATAGCTGTTCTCAACAGAGACATCAGTGTTCAGTAAGAACAGACTTTGTTGGCTATCCTCTGAGGCTTGCTGGATGAATTCAGTAAGGGCTTCTATGTGTGCTGTAACCACTGGGCCAGAGGAGGGAACCAGGATGGTGGCCACATTGTATTACTGGAAACAATGTCCACCTGGCATTGAGGAGACACAGGTTAGCCCCTTTAGGAAATTGGCCTGGTTGTGCATACCATGCATGTTGGCTGGGAGAGGCAGCACAGTCAGGTGTGTAAAGATGGATGGGGGTGGGATGTACCCAGCCCCCACCTTCTTCCCTCCCTCAATGGTGCATATTCTGTTCCACATATAGTGCATTTCAGCAAGTCCAGCTTGTAGCAGGACAACAGAATCCCCGTGGAGATTGGATAGTTCCCTCTCACCTGGGGGTGTGAAGTCACTCACCCAACCTGATGGGACATCCTGAGGCAGGTTCTGGTAGATGATCCCTTTCCCAGGCATGATGGGGCTTGGTGTTCTCAGCAGCACAGCACCTTGCTCTTCGGGAAGAGTTGGGACCATGGCTGTTTCCCGTGACTTCTGTATCTTTACAGGATTGGGTGCCTTGCTGGGGTCCCCAGTCCGACATATGGGGCAACAGACCCTACTGGTTGATCAGCCAAATGTACGGAAGCCTAGGGCAATACTGTAGTCTACCCAGCCAGACTGGTCTTATCTGTTAATAGTTTAATCTGCGGGGTTTTGGGGTTTTTTTTACAGTAGTTTTAGGTGTACAACACAGCGATTTGACAAGTCTGTGCTTGTGCGGGGCTCACCACAAGTGCAGCTGTCGCCTGTCACCACCCCCACACTGTTCCAGTAGCACTGACTATGTTCCATATGCTGTGCCTTTCATCCCCGTGATTTATTCATTCCCTAGCTGCAAGCTTGGACCCCCCACTCCCCTTCACCCATTCTACCCATTCTCCTTCCTGCTAGCAGCCAGCAGTTTGCTCTCTGTGCTGGTGGGTCTGCTTGTGATGTCTGTTTGTGCTGTTTGTTCATTTGTTCTTTAGATTCTGCATACTGGCAAAGATCGTATAGTATTTGTCTTTTATTTCACTTAGCATAGTACTCTCTGGGTCCATCCATGTGGTTGCAAATGGCAAGATCTCATTCTTTTTTTTAGGGCCGAATGATAGTCATTGTGTATATATACTGCATCTTTATCCATTCATTTATCAGTGGACACTTGGGCTGCTTCCGTATCTTGGCTATTGTAAATAATGCTGCAGTGAGGGGCGCCTGGGTGGCTCAGTCAGTTAAGGACCTGCCTTCGGCTCAGGTCATGATCCCAGGGTCCTGGGATCGAGCTCCGCATCAGGCTGTCTGCTCAGTAAGGAGTCTGCCTCTCCATCTGCCTCTCCCTTCTGCTTGTGCTTTCTCTCGCTCAGTCCCTCAAATAAATAAAATCTTTAAAAAATAATAATAATACTTCAATAAACATAGGGGTGCTTGTATCCTTTCAAATTAGCATTTCCGTTTCCTTTAGGTAAATACTGATGACTGGATCATATGGTATTTCTGTTTTTTTTTTTTTTAATAATGTATGCTACTTTTTATTTTAATTTTTTTTTGAGATTTTATTTATTTATTTGACAGACAGAGATCACAAGTAGGCAGAGAGGCAGGAGGAGAGAGAGAGGGTGAAGCAGGCTCTCTGCAGAGCAGAGAGCCCATATGGGGCTTGATCCCAGGACCCTGAGATCATGACCTGAGCTGAAGGCACAGGCTTAACCCAGGTGCCCCGGTATTTCTGTTTTTAATTTTTGTGGATCCTCTAGACTATCTTCCATAGTGGTTGCCCTGAATTGCATTCCCAGCAGCAGTTCATGAGGTTTCCTTCCCACCCACCACCTTCCACAACACGTGTTACTTCTCATCTTTTTAATTCTAGCCATTCCAACAAGCACGAGGTGATACCTCATTGTGGTTTTGATTTACATTTCCCTGATGAGTGATGTTGAGTGTCTTTACGTATGTGTGTTGGCTGTCTGGAAGTCTTCTTTAGAGGAATGTCTATTCATATCTTGTGCCCATTTTTAATTAGATTATTTGTCTTTTTGGTGTTGAGTTGTATAAGTTCTTCATATATTTTGGATACTAACCCCTCACTGGTTATGTTGTTTGCAAATATCTTCTCCCATTCCATAGGTTACCTTTTGTTCTGCTGATGGTTTCCTTACTGTGCAGAAGCTTTTTATTTTGACATGGCCCCAACTTTATTTCTTCGTTTATTTCCCTTGCCTCAGGGGCCTAGCTGGAAAAAGTTGCTACAGCTGATGTCAGAGAAGTTACTGCCTATGCTCCCTTCTGTGATTTTTATGGTTTCAGGTCTCACATTTAGGTCCTTAACCCATTTTGAGTTTATTTTTGTGTGTGATGTAAGAAAGTGGTCCAGTTTCATTCTTTTTCATGTAGTTGTCCAGTTTTCCCAACACCATTTGTTGAAGAGATTGTCTTTTTCCCGTTGGATAGTCTTGCCTCCTTTGTTAAAAATTAACCCCATAAGTGTGGTTTATTTCTGGGCTTTCTATTCTGTTTTGTTGATCCATGTGTCTTTTTATTTATTTATTTATTTGACAGAGATCACAAGTAGGCAGAGAGGCGGGCAGAGAGAGAGAGAGGAGGAAGCAGGCTCCCCGCCGAGCAGAGAGCCCGATGCGGGACTCGATCCCAGGATCCTGAGATCATGACCTGAGCCGAAGGCAGAGGCTTTAACCCACCCAGGTGCCCCTCCAAATCCATTTTGGAAAGCTTCCAAATCCATTCGAGGAGGCCAGCACTACCCTGATACTAAAACCAGATAAAGACGCTACCAAAAAAGGAACCACAGGCCAGTATCTCTGATGAGCATAGATGCAAAAATCCTCAAAAAAAACACTAGTGAACCGAATCCAACAACACATTAAAAGAAAAATCATTCACCACAGTCAAGTGGGATTTATTCCCGGGATGCAGGGAGGGGTGGTTCAATATCTGCAGATCGATCCATGTGCTACATCACATCAGTACGAGAAAGGATAAAAACCATAGGATCATTTCAACAGATGCAGCAAAAGCACTTGACAGACTACAACGTCCATCCACAATAAAAGCCCTCAACAAAAGTAGGTTCAGAGGGAACAAACCTCAACATAATGAAGGCCACAGATGATAAACCCGCAGCCAACACCACACTCAATGGTGAGAAACTGAGAGCTGTCCCCCTGAGGTCAGGAACAAGGCAGTGGTGTCCACTCTCCCCACTTTTATTCAACACAGTATGGGAAATCTTGCCCCCAGCAATCAGACAACACAAATAAAATGCAGCCAAATTGGTAAGAAAGAAGTAAAACTGTCACTATATGCAGATGACATACTAGATACAGCAAACCCTAAAGACTGCAACCAAAGAAACTGCTAGAACTGATAAATGAATTCAGTAAAGTTGCAGGATACAAAATCAAGGAACAGAAATCTGTTGCAGCTCTTCACACTGATAATAAAGTAGCAGGAAGAGAAATTAAGAAAATAATTCAAAATATCTAGGAATAAACCTAACCAAAGAGGTAAAAGGCTTGTAGTCTGAAAATCATAAAACACTGATGAAAGACACAGAAGATGACACAAATGGAAAGACAGACCATGCTCACAGACTGGATGAGCAAATGTTAAAATGTCTGTTCCAGGGGCACCTGGGTGGCTCAGTGGGTTAAGCCTCTGCCTTCAGCTCAGGTCATGATCTCAGGGTCCTGGGATCGAGCCCCGCATAGGGCTCTCTGCTCAGCGGGGAGCCTGCTTCCCCGCCCCCCCCGCCTGCCTCTCTGCCTACTTGTGATCTCTGTCAAATAAATAAAATTTTTAAATTAAAATCTTTTTAAAAAATGGATTTGGAATAGTTTGAGAGCAATGGGTATTAACACTTCTCTAAATGTTCAGTTAAGGGCGCCTGGGGCTCAGTGGGTTAAAGCCTCTGCCTTCGGCTCAGGTCATGGTCCCAGGGTCCTGGGATCCAGCCCCACATTGGGCTCTCTGCTCAGCGGG